AGTATGTGATAAATAAGGAAATGTTTTTTCTTTTGAATGCCTTAAGGCAAAATATGAATGATCTGATCTCAAAAACATTATTGCAGTCAATTTTGGATTCTATTTTCTAGATGATATTCAATTGTTATAGTGTGTAAAAAATTCCACTGTATTTATTGATTTAAATCGGTTTTAGGCTTGTCTACAATTTTTGTATATCAATGTAAAACCTTTCAACCATTGATTTTACTTCTACAACATCTTCATTTAATAGGACAGGTTTTTGTCATTTCACTCAAAAACAATATTTCGTAAGGCACTAATTTGAGGCACTTTCAATGATAAAAGTCACTCACCAGTGTGCATCAGGCACAAGGTAATAAGCAAAACACCGAAAATTTGTTTCCACATGTTTCTTCACTTTATATTTCTTTAAAAATATTTTTTTAATTATATTGTAAGCAAAATGCACTATAATCTTTAGTAACTTTCGGGCTGACAGACGCTGAACAACTGAAGACGTGTGTTCGAATATGGATTCAGATTTGAACTGAACTTGTTTTGAGTGAGTTGGCGGATCGTGCACGGAAAAGCTTTTTGCATTTCATCTCTCAGCAAATTGAGTGGAACTCGGGAACGAGTTTCGGGAACGAGCGATGATGTCGGCCAAGCATGGGGGTCGCTGCAAAAACAAAAGCAAAAAAAAAAAACAATCTATTTTGTTGTGATCGCCAGCTTCGTAGAAACCGCCTCTTATTTTCAAAACATTTATTGTTATTTTTGGTGTTGGTGGCGCTTGGATATCGTTGCGGTCAAGTATTTGGATTTTTGCTTTAATTGAATTTATTGCTGATGGAATTTAATTGCAAACTGACACAGGTATTTCTGTCGCTCTCGCTCTCTGATTTGGTTGTTGAATTGCAGAGGTGGAACTAGTGAGGAGAAAGATTGCCAATTAGTTGGCACTGACCGTTTCGCCAATGGATGACAGTTTGACAGTACATTGATGATATTAATATTAAATAACTCAAACTGTGTGTAATCTTAAATAAATGGAGATTTAGTCCACATGCTCTCGGGACAAGATATTTAAACTAATACGACGACAACCCTTCGGTTGGTTTGGCTGCATTTTAGACTAGAAATGGGAAATACAATTATTTACTTTCTATGCTCCGACAGGATTTAATTTTGCCATAATTTTCTAGGGTCTATCTATGTATGTACATACCTTCCGATAATCTCCGCGCAGGTTCAAGAACCTTCTCTGTATGTGCGTGCACTTTGTTTGGTAGTATGTAATCTTTTCCACATTGTTGTCTGCTTTTGCACATTGATTGCTTATTTTGTTGCATGTTATTTAAGCAATGGAAATCTTTTGCTCTGTACCAAGTTTCCATTACATGCTTTCTGTCTGTTGTCATGGAAATCGGTGATGGTCTTGAGCTTGGGCTTTCCTTTCTGGCTGGCAAGGCAAAGGCAGTGATAAGAGCAGCCACTGCCAGTGCCAGGGAAGTCACAAATCCTTTTCAATGGCAAAACCAAGTTGATGAAAAACTGCGATTATAAAGAATTCTCCAAGTTTCCCTCTCTTTCACGCATTTTCTTTCTTTTAAGCAGTTTTTGCTCGTTGCTAAAAATAATTTAGTATAATTTACCTTTAAGTATATTTTACTTTTCTCATCTGTACCTGAAAAGCTTAAAGCTTCTTTTAAACTTTTGGTTTTAAGTTAATTTTGCTTGTGTGGCGAAACGAGTTTCAATTCCGCAGCAAACACAAAAAGAAAACGAGAAGGGAACGAGAACCCACACACTGCAGACTCACGGCAGAGGCAGCGCCGGCACACAAAAAAAGCAAATATAAATGTCGGCAGAGGCAGAGGGATGGCAGAGGCAGAGGCCGAGTGAAGCAGAAGCAGAGTGTGAATGAGAGAATGTGAAAATAACAAAATCTGCGGAACAGGGTGGGTTTAGGCACTGCAAGTTAATTTCTTCATTCTGTCTATAATAATGATCCAATCGGATCCAAATTTGGTGATCTGATAAATATGGTCATTCCCTACGGAATGGCGTTAGTTTTCTTTCATCTTCAAAATTGTAGGTTTGGGAGGTTTTCGCCCTTTTGCGGGGGCGGAAAGGGGCGTGGCTCATTTTTGAAATACATTTGTAACAGTGTGAGCATGCAGAAGTATAGATGGTGGCTCTAGCTCTTATAGTCTCTGAGTACTAGGCGCTCATCAGGACGGACAGACGGACGGACAGACAGATATGGCTCTATCGACTCGGCTATTGATGCTGATCAAGAATATATATACTTTATGGGGTCGGAAACTTTTCCTTCTGTGTGTTACCTACTTTGTCCACAAATACAATATACCCTATTTACTCTTCGAGTACCGGGTATAAAAACACGTCGCGTGAATGGTGTTGGGGGGGAATGTGCTTGGTTGGGTCTTGTCAATTAGCATCGAATATGAAGTAATAAGTGCATAGAACAAAATATGAGACTCGAAAAAGTTTTAACAATTCGTTTAATTCGTGTACAAATTTTCAGTGTGCGATTGTCTGCAGGTTGTGCTTATGTAATGCTCGTTGTTTTCGTTTCTTGCTGCTGATCGTTTGCCTATTCAAATACTGTGCAAGTGTTGGAGGTTTAGTAAAAGAGAAAATATAACTTTCGTTATCACATTAATGAGGTAGAAACAACGTGGGGTGAATATTACAAGGTAGTTATTAGTTATAAGACTGACCACCAGGTTATTAAGTGGCTAGAGGTCCGAATAAAGAGCGTAACATTGTAAATAAAAGCTGTTTGTAGGGGAAATACCTAATATTAATCATCTAAAATCAAAGTCGAGTGTTTTTCCCAATTAATTTATTATGTTTCAAAATTTGTTATCTAACTCTCCCTTTCTTAGCCTGTCTTTTTGGGAACCTATAAACGCTATCTATTGGTTTAATAAAAACTATCTTAATACGCTGACTATTTATTTATTTTCCAACAACTTCCTTACCATACAGTAAACAGAGCTGTTTTTGGCTATGGTGCCTTGCAAATGTATGGTATCTCTACCGTACAATTTGAATTAAGAAATGCATGTTGTTTAGTTCCATAAAAGAGCATTGTATTACAATTACCAAATTCCTCAACAGGTGCATGTTCATGCCAGATTTCCAAATTTATTTCCAAACCATTTGACATCCACACATGTTTAACTTTTTGCGCCAAGTCAGTGCCCGAAGTCCAGTAGAAACCTTCATTCCTATCGAGATAGTTTATTAACATATCCCATTCCTCGATGCCATCGAATGCAATCAAATCGGCTTCTATCGTCGGCAAGATTCAAAAGTATCAAACCAATTCTTTATCACAGCTGTTTCAATATAGTAGTAGTAATCATAGCCGATCTTTACAAACGGTGCAGTGGTTATATTGAGGGATCCTGGCAATCCTAAAGAAAGAATTTATACTTTCGATTATGTTTCAGTTTATGTTATATTGATCCTAACCATCTATGACTGTCGGCGTTAGTTTATAAGCGAAAGTGAGAGAGAGCAAAGTCAACGACGAGGCCAAGAAACTACAACAGTTTTGAAGGTAGCTTTTCTCGTGCTCTTTTCACACTGGCCACATCTTTATTCATTTTACCCAAGACTTTTGCTTCTAAAACGCAATACAAGCACTCTCAAAACTTCATTCTAGCCATTGCTCTCTCAGAGTGCATATCTCTATTATATTATAATGTCCCATCAGCTGCTGCCTATTACTATTTTATCTGTTCAATGAAATGTTCAATGTTCAGGAACTTCAATTAAAACAACTTTTAATTGTCGATCACTCAGCGGGTTTACCGGCTGTTC